TTACAGGCGAGCCTTGTCTCAACTTGGGAGCCAAGCTTGCCTGAAGGCAGAGCATCCCCTCTGCCGATAAGGCGTGAATGAGAGTCACGTCACTTTCTCTTCGTGATCACTCTTTTTCCTTTTCTTTCTGTTCACAGTCCAGAAAAAGAGAAATTTGGGGGCTGCTGGTGGGTAACAGAAAGTGAGAAGAAATGATTACAGTCGAGGAAAGAACCACAGGGCGTGAGGAAGAGACATTTAGGCAGTGGTGGCAGTCAGGAGTAAATGGAGAGATTTAATGGTCAGTTTAAACTTGGAGGAAAAACGAAGATGTTAAAAGGCAGAGGGAGATGCGGAAGATAGGGAGAGGAAACTGGCAGGTGACTGTAATGTTCGCTTGATTGAAGAGCATGTTCTGAGATTTATCTAGATTACCAGTATTTTTAAAGATTTATTTTCATGGAAAAAGCAGATATACAAAGAGGAGGACAGACAGAGAGGAAGATAATCTGTCCGCTGATTCACTCCCGAAGTGGCCATAACAACTGGGCTCCAAAGCCAGGAGCCAGGAACTTCTTCCAGGTCTCGCACATGGGAGCGGGGTCCCAAGGTTTTGGGCCGCCCTCGACTGCTTCCTCAGGCCACAAGCAGGGAGCTGAATGGGAAGTGGGGCTGCCGGGATTAGAACTGGTACCTGTATGGGATCCTGGCATGTGCAAGGTGAGGACTTTAGCTTCTAGACTACCACGCTAGGGCCTAGATTGTAAAATTAACACAGGAACATAAGCTGCATGGTTGGTTAGTGTGCTTAATTTGCAGTTTAAAACTGAGATGGCATATACATGTCACCTAGATTATGTGTTAGGTTTTTAAAATCTACATTGTTTGCAGTGTTTGATTATTAATTAACTCTGGATATGACTACTGCTTAGCAACCTCTTCATCTTTGTTGGTTAATCTCGGAAGGAAGATAAGATTGTTAAACAGATGGCTCAAAGGGGTCCTTCCCACTTTTGCTGGGCGATGCCAAGTTTTCACAATGAGAGAATACTTGAAATCATGCGCTGTGGCTCATTGCTGATCCTCCTTTGAGCCTTTAGATTCAGAGTCCTTATGGAAGCAAATATGCAGTGAATGGCTTTTAGAGTAACCTCGGTTTCTGTTGTAGATGGGACGCCAACGGCTGCCCTGCTGCTGTATTTTCTTGCCTGGCTTGGTCATCTGTAATGCTGTACGTGGAGGCGTTCAGCCTGGTCCTTACCTAGCTTTCTAGGCTTATCACTCATTTCTTCCCTTGTACATCTAACAACTTACCTTTTTTTTAAAATATATTTTGTATTTCTTTGTTCTCTATGACCTTTTCAATGCTTTCAATACTCAGTTTCCAAATCTCACCTACTCAGTCTGTTTATTGCAATCATCTTCATCCTTCAAGCCTCTACTCAAGGATACAAAAGATCCATAAACTTCTCTTTCATCTACCTCTTTAGGCCTTTTATACTGATTAACTCTGTTATTTGTCTTCGTCTTAGCTTCCTTCCTGGAATATATACTTCTGAAAGGCGTGAATCATGTCCTGTTTTGTATTTGTGTTTCCTGTAGGGCCTAACATTCTTGTCAGAACTGGCCATCTAGAGAATGGCACGTGTGGCTGCTTCCCAGGGAACAGAAAGGCAGGAGGTCCGGGCAGGTCCTGGCAGGGAGAGAATGTCCAGAACAATTGAGCTGTCAGTTTCAGGGAAGTCTGGCTATGAATGCCAGGTGCATGTTCCTACATGCCTGTAGAGCATGCTATGAGGGAGGTCTTACTGTGTGAGCAGGTAGAGGTACGCTGCACTGCTGGTCGCCGTCAGGACCTTCAGGGATCTGGTTAGTGTGTGGATTCTAAAGTCTGAACCATCTCAGTGGAGTGGCTCAGAACTAGGACTAAGAGAAGCAGTAGCGTGTTGGACACAGTCCAGTCCTGGTCATGAGTGCTGTGGAAGCAAGACAAAGAACAGTTTGAAAATTAGATATGAAGTAGAAAGGCTTGGACACCGAGGAATCGAGTGAGAAGTGAAGTTCTCGTAGGACACAGTGTTTAATGGGATCAGAAGCCAGGTGTAGTTGACTTACAGGGGATTTAAATTGTTCAATAAATGTCTTATTTGTTAGAGGCTGGCTCGTTATACTTCACGTTTAGTGTTCTGGCTTTCTGTTAAGGAATGGTAGCCTTTATGTTGTAACAATTACTATTTGCCGGATTAATTTCATTTTGAGGTTCGTCAGGACTGTCCCTTTAAGAAGAAAATATGCTGAGCTAAATAAGGCTAATACTTGACAACTATGGCGGACAGGACCTTTCATTTGACATATGACCATAGGATGCTGACGAAAGATGGTCTACTTTAAAATGGACACATTTAACTTGTGTTATTTCATGGTTTTATTGTAAGAAATTGTAAAGTTTATATTTAAAAAAAGTCATTTAAAGTAATTATAAAAGGCCTAATGTATTCTTTCTGCACCTCCCTTAAATTTAGTTATTTAGTTAAATTTAGTTATTCATTCCTTTTTTTAAATGGCTCAGTGCCTTCTACTTGCTTTGAGTTAATGTTTTTCTTATTCAATGTTTGAGTTGTTTTCTTCAGAATAATTTCAGCCTCTTAGTATCCTAAATGCTTTATGATTTGGGCCTGTGTAAGTCTTGCTTTGTGACTGAGGGGTCCAGCTGCTCCAGTTATGTGTGTATTCCTAGGTGTGAACTAGTACATCAGTCAGGTGTGGTCAAACCATGGCTGGATTTGGAGATGAGGGTGAGCGGAGAGCTCAGGAGGCAGGAGCTGAGGAGAGAATTGGGTTATCTCTACTTTCAGCTCTCTCTTACTAGCTGTGGCTTCTGGTGTCAGTGGATTGTAAAAAAGAAATTAGAGGCTAAGCTGTATTTTAACATTTGTGTTATTTTCTGTGGTACAGTTTTGTAGGTCTAGGTATCACCACTATTTTCCCTTCCCTTCTGCTTTCTCAATTTCTCCTCCCGCCATTTTCGTCCATATTAATACAGTATTGTAGTCCTTTAGTAACAGTTTAACATTCTGCTGTTTAATTGCATCATGGTGTTATAGATATAGAAAAGGTAGAAAGCCTAATATCATATTATCAAGGTATATTTAACCATTTCACTGGGAGTCCTTTCATTCGGGGTTAGAGATTCCTGCTGCAATATTTCATATGTTCTCATAGATGAACTGTGTGACAGAGGCTAGCATACTGTGAAGTAGAGGCTCGACTTCATTGCGGATTCTTAGGGCATTTCATTATGCCAGGACGTTTACTGCCTCATTGTGGGCAGGAATGTCTTTGCACTAGGGATGAAGAGGTTCAGTGCTTCTATTAGATTTTTTTCTGATTCTTTTGTAGCTTTGACTTTTTTTTTTTTTAACTAAATATGACTTAGGAGGATCAGAGTGAACCATTTTGGTTTTGAAAATTTTTTTCTTCATGAAAAAAAGTTTGCTTGCATGTGGCCTTTACAAGCTGCCTGGTGCTAAGACTGAGACATTGTCCCCTGCCCGGAGTCTACTAATAAAGTGAATATCAAAATTGTTAATTCTTGCTTGTTGGCTAGGGAAAATGAGAGCTCAAAGAGTCGGAAGCACAAGGAAATGCTGCTTTGGCCTTGGTTATCACGGCACCTGATAGTAAAGAAAAATAAATGACCAGATGTGCTCATAACTCAGAAGCCTAGTGTGGAGTAACCTAGTGTGGAGTAACCCAGTTCTGATTAAATTGATGTCTGATCAACAGCTTCTTTGTGTTGTGGAAGCAAGTTTCGCTGGGATGCTCGTGAGACGTGCAGGGGACTGCCCGGCAGACAGGTGCTTCCTCACATCCTGAGCATGACAGAGGGCTGTGCTAGAGCGGTGCTCGCTGGAATCACCTGCAGGATGTCATGGTGCACAGCATGTTGGACTGTGTAATGGGGGTAGGTAGGGCAGCATATTGCCCATTTAAAACAAGTTATATTTTGAACGGTAAGCGCTTAGTGAATCTTAGGGAAAGCTAAAGGAGAACTAGTAGATTACTGCTTAAGTGTAATAAGTGTAATAGAACTTCAAAAAGCTTGTTGCTGGTGGTGGGCTGGATGGTGGTGAGGGGACTGTGGCATGGTAGGTTAAACTGTTCTCTGCTGTGCCAACATCCCATATGGATACTGGCTCGAATTATGGCTTTATGGCTTCTCCACTTCTAATCCAGGTCCCTGCTAATGTACCTGGGAAAGCATACGCAGATGGCACAAGTCATTGTGTCCCTGTCCCCATGTGGGAGAGCCTTTTTCTTCTTAGTTTTTAAGCAAATATCTTTTGTTGTTGTTCTTAAATTTTTATTTTGAGGGCCCAGTGCAGTGGCCTAATGGCTAAAGTCCTTGCCTTGAGCGTACCAGAATCACATATGGGCACTGGTTGTAATCCTGGCTGCTCCACTTCCCATCCAGCTCCCTGATTGTGGCCTGAGAAAGCAGTGGAGGACAGCCCAAAACCTTGGGACCCGCACCCATGTAGGAGACCCAGAAAGAAGTTCCTGGTTCCTGGCTTTGGATCAGCATAGCACTGGCTGTTGAAGTCACTTGGGGAGTGAATCATTGGACGGAAGATCTTTCTCTCTCTCTCTCCTCCTCTCTGTATATCTGCCTTTCCAATAAAAATAAACAAATCTTAATTTTTTTGGAGTTTTTGATTTTTATGGTACAATTTTGTAGTGACTGGGATTTCCCCCCTAAACTCTCACCCTCCAACAGATTTTTCCATGTGGGAGATCCTCAGAAGGTCCTGGCCTCTGCCTAACCCAATAGCGGCTGTTGTGGCCATTTGGGGAGCGAACCAGCAGATGGAATATCTCTCTGTCTGATCTGCCACTCTGTGTAACTGCCTTTCAAACATAGATCTTTAGTGAAGTTTGTGGGAAAATGGAATTTAAAGATAAGTTTGTTTTGGTACAAAATGTTTTTGAAATTGTATTTACTGATTTAAGTTATTTTTCTTGTGAACCTTCAAAAACTCTCCTTTTCATCCTTTATAAATTTGTATTTAAAACTTTCTTAGTGGATGCCATCTTCAGAATATTTAACATTCTTTAGTAAGAATAATTGATTTTCACAGATTTGGAAGCTTTCCTGAAAACAGAATTTATGTGAACATCAGTGACACAATTCTATTTGGTGTCTGTAGGTTTGTTGTCGGCACTAACTAGATTTCCAACATTGGTCAGAGTCCTTTATGTTCAAAGTCTCTGATATAACAGTATAAATACCTTCATCAGCATGACATAGTTCCTAGTGCTACGTAATCTTTATTTGGTTATTATCCCTATAAAATCATAATTTCATGTGGCAAGTACGTCAGGGAAAGGACATTTTCTTGGTGTCTGTGTCTGCCATCCACGCACCTTTGGTGTGACGCTGTAGTGTGCTTCAAGGAGCAGGAGAAAGGCTGCAGCATGGTGAGGGGCAGGACTGAAGGATTTCATAGTTTGGTGAGAGCTTGCTTAGCAGCTGCAGAATCCATGCACAGAATAGTTCAGTTTGGGATAGTAAGAGGAATTTAAGAAGGAACATGTGTACATAGTTTCTCAGAAGTAAATTCTAAAGCATGAACTATACCCATGGCATGCTTTATGAAGACTTTAAAACATTTGGTTATTAAGAGCAAGGGCAGTTTAACTGAGCCATAGCCTTTCGTGTGTGTTTTTTTCTTTCCATCTTACAGTTCCTCTTTTCTTCATCTGGATCTGCATTGGAAGTCTGTGCTTTATAAAAAAGGTAAGCGTAAGGTTACACGTATGCTTCCTGTGTGTGTGTGGTTGGAAGGGGCAGGGAAAAGAGGTAAGAACATGTGAATTTTCAAAGAATTAAAACAATGAGCTAAGCTTGCTAATAATTGATTATGTCTCACCAATGTAATACCCATTAAGAAGGACCTCTTGTTATGACTAACTTGAAGAATGCTGTCAGGGCCTGGGAAAGTTCACTGGAGTGGGCCCGGCGCGGTGGCGCAAGTGGTTAAAGGTCCTCGCCTTGCACGCCCGGGATCCCATATGGGCGCCGGTTCTAATCCCGGCAGCCCCGCTTCCCTTCCAGCTCCCTGCCTGTGGCCTGGGAAGGCAGTCGAGGACGGCCCAGGGCTTTGGGAACCTGCACCCGCGTGGGAGACCCAGAAGAGGCTCCTGGCTTCGGACCGGCATAGTATCGGCCCGTTGCGCTCACTTGGGGAGTGAATCATCGGACGGAAGATCTTCCTCTCTGTCTCTCCTCTCTGTATATCCGCCTTTCCAATAAAAAAATAATAAAAATAAATCTTTAAAAAAAAAAAAGAAAGTTCACTGGAGAATACATCAGAAGCCAGGACTTTACTGATGCCCAAGGCCTCGGTTTGCTTGCCTAAGGAGCATCAGCAGTAACTGGTTGAAAAGCTTTTAGAAATACTTGCTTTTATTGTGGGAAAGATTTGGGAAGCCTTGGGATAATCAGAGCAGTGCCTTTAATGGAGTAGGTGTGCAAAAAGCCTTACCGAATTAATATGAGCACATATTATGCCTTTCTGTGAGGATGAAAAAAATGAAACCATAATTTGTTAATTCAGAACATTAATTATCTCCTTGATTTTTATTAAAATAAGTTTCTTTTTTTTTTGGTTACATTTTTTTCTGTTAGTGACTGTCATAGCCAGTTTATCACAGCAAAGGTTTTTAGAAAAATTGACCTTAAAATAAGTAATGCAATGAAAGAATCTCAACTGAACTTGAACTGTGGTAATGCAGCAAGGTGGAGGAATCCACCATGGCAAGGGAGGGTTTGGGGAGGGGTAGGGGGACTCCAAGTGCCTATAAAATTGTGTCACATAATGAAATGTAATTAATAATAAAAAAATAAAAGAAAATCAGATATTAAGAAAATAAGTAATGCATTCTAAAGAAAATATTTGAAAGAATTCAACCAGTACAAACAGTTTAGTACAAGGAATTCAGAAGAATGTTTTAATCATCAGGCGTGGCTGGTGGGTTGGATCTATTTATCTTAGCTCTTCAAATGATACCAGTTTGGTTGCCATGATTTTCCTTGTTCTTCAGGAGCATGATTAGCCTGGTGGGCGTGTCCTTTTGTCTGGCTTTAATTGTTGCTGTGTGAGTAACTGAAATAGCAGACAGATATGGGAAAGTTACAACAGTGTTGTATGTTCATCAAAAGGTTTTTGGACACACTTTAAAAGGGTTTTGTAGGGGTCACTCATCTTGTACATTTTCAGAGGAACAGTCTTCTGTAAAGATTAGTAGAAGAAAAAAAAATGGTATCTGGCATTGTGTACCACTTACGATACTTCATTCTTGCAGCCATTTTTTCACAGTAGAAAGTGCTCTGTGTTTGTTACTTCTGAGATAAGAATTTGAACCTCATTGTGTTACCTTGTGCTATGTACTCATCAGGAACATTCTTTTTCTTCTTTTTTTTTTGTTGTGGAGATTCTGTTTGTTTATTTGAAAGTGTTGTATTTGTCTACACAGAGCTAGTTTTCTTTCCTCTGCTGGTTGACTCACTCCCCAGATCCCCAGATGGTCACACAGTCAGGACTGAGCCAAGCTGCAGCCAGGAGCTAGAAGCTTCATCTCCCATGTGGGTGGCAGAAGCCCATGAACCTGGGTCATCTTTCGTTGCCCTTCTTGGTCCATTAGCAGGAAAACTGGATGGGAAGTAGTTCAGCTGGGACTTGAACCAGTGCTCTTATCAAATGGCAGCATCAGTGTCCCAGGCAGTGACTTTATCCAGTATGCCGCAGTGCTGCTGGCCAAGTGACCTTTGTGTAGAGGAGAGGACACTGAGACAGAGCCAATATATTGTTGACAAGTAGGTGTTCTTGTGCATTTGAACCTGCTGTGGAGACTGTCAGATTTGAAGTCTTTATAATATTCCCTACCTTAATGAATTTGCTTGATTATCAACAAATATTTATTGGATCTCAGCTTGTGCAAAAAAAAAAAATGAAGAATAAGAAGATTCAGCTCTTAAGCAGTAGTTGCTAATATACAGTTAATGGACTGCATCTCAGGTTACAGACAAACAATGTATGGAAATATGAGGGCATTGGGCCCGGCGTTGGTGGTGCAGTGCAATAATCCTCCTTCCTGTGGGGCTGGCAACCTATAGGGGCCCTGATTCATGTCACTGCTGCTCATGAGAGTCTATGCTGAGTAGAGATATCTAACAGAAAAATAGGAATTGCAGACTGTGGAGTAAGAGGCAGCAGGATTTGCTGTTGTCCCTGGGAGTATGTGAGGTGACTGGATGGCAGAACAGAATGCATTTAGTGTTCAGGATCATTGACACGATGGGCTGGGTATGTCAGGCAGAAAGAGACAGTGGACACGGGAATGCGATTCAGGAGCTACAGGTTTGTGAATCATCGATATGTAGGAGGCAGTTGTGTGGCATCTGAAAATACATGATTATTGATTTAGATAACCAAGGGATTGGCCATGAAAGGAAATTTGGGCAAGAGTATTAGCAGCCTTGCTATTGATTCCAGAGTAAAAGATTTTGTATTTCAGTAATGAAAGTAGATAAAATAATTTCTTTGTGTTTGTTATAGTAGTAGTTCACATTACTACTTTGATTATTTCAAGAAACCTTCTTAGTGTAATAAATACTCATGCAGTTTTACACCAGTGGTTGGTAAGAAAAGGTTTCTGGAACTAAGATCTTTATCCAAGACATGGAAAGTGATCAGTTTTTTTCCTTAGTATCCTAAAATTCCAGAAGAAATGGAACAGTTACTTTAGTGATTTGATGAGAACAGAGCTGAAGGTTGAAAATTGTGTGCACAGCTGAACAGGTGTAAACGCACAGTGCCATAGATGATTTTGGATTTTTCAAGAGCTAAGGAAAGTGTTGCATATGACATGTACTGTTGGAGGAAAACTAAAGTTGTGAGTTTGGGAAAGGGACACCTTTGTACAAGAACAAGATTAAGCCACTGTTATGAAAAGCTGGAAATAATACAACATTCCAGAAATTACTTAGAAAGATGAACTGTGGGCTGTAACGTTATGGCTGTGCTCTGAGAACCGGGAGTGGGTAGGAGGTGAGGAGGGACAAGAACAGAGGTGGTATGTCAGCCCTCCAATTAAGTTGGGGTTGGGTGCCAGAAAATAGATTTCAGGTTTTTTTTTTTTTGATAAAGAGTCAAACTATAATTGAAACATGACATTAGCAACTTGGAATCATTGTTAGTGTAATTTTAACAAGAAAATACATGCTTGTTTTTTAATGGCTAGACAAGATCAGAGCAAGCAAATTTGGTGCACATCGCAGAATACCAAACGAATAAACAGCAAGAGAACAGCAACAAAAAAATATAAAATGTGTCAATAAAACAATTTATATACAGCATATTAAATTTCATTTTAAAAGATGGCTCAGATTAAAAAGTAATCCTGCTTTCTATAAATATATCCTTAGCACAAACTGACCAAGAAAGGTTAAATGTAAGAAGATAAACTGAGATTTATAAGGAAAACATAGAAGACAGAGGAATAGTTATGTGAGTCCCAGAATAGATTTCAATGAGGAAAATAACTAAATAAGATAGAGACCAGTTATATGAATTGACTCAGGCTGACTGATGTTTGCGGAAGAAGGAAAATAATGAATTTCCTTTGCAATTAGGCTTCTAAATCCTGTTTAAATGTTTTACTTTTTAAAATAAAATGTGTGGAAGTATTCCAGGGTGAACATGTGGCTCAACAGGCTAATTCTCCACCTTCAGATGCCTGCATTGTATATGCGTATCAGTTCATGTCCTGACAGCTCTCTTTTCATCCAGCTCCCCGTTTATGGCCTGGGAGAGCAACAGAGGATGGCCCCAGTCCTGGGGACCCTGCACCCACGTGGGAGACCTGGAATAAGCTCCTGGCTCCGGAATGGCCCCAGTCCTGGGGACCCTGCACCCATGTGCAGGAAGCTCCTGATTCCTTTGGATTGACCCACCTCTAATTGTTGTGGATGTTTGGGAAGTGAACCAGTGGATGGGAGATGCTTTTTTTCTCTCCCCTCCCCACCCTTCTCTCTGCAAATATGCCTGTCAAATAAAAATCAAATCTTAAAAAGAAAATCTTCCAATTCATGCTCTTTGTTTACTATGTTCTTAATACTAAAATCTGCCAGTTTGTATCACTGAAGAACATTTTATTCAGAGTTGCCAATCTATGCTCAGTAGACTTTGAGGGTTTAAAATATAATAATAATAATTCTGCGGAGGAATTTTGAATCTGAATAGGCTTGGAAGAAGCTACCTGGGCTACCCTTTTGTGCTTTCCATCCAATGCATTTTAGCATTTTAGGATCCCTAATCAATCTTAACTGTTCTTGACTTTAGCCTAGTGTTTTACAGATTCTTTTGACCATGGATACCAACCTCCCCACCATCCCTTGCATTCCATTCGTGAAATACTTATTAAAAATTCATAGGATTCTGGTGTATTGAAGACACACAAAATCAATAATAAAGTGGAAGCTAATGATATAGTTAAAGAGCGATCAGTATTGAACAAGGATGGTTTATCTGAATATATAAAAATGGGTTATAGGAGATCTAATTGTAGGATTCATTGTCTCATTTGGTTCTATAAGAAAACTGAAGTCTCATTGTCAATTGTTTTTTCCTTGAAAAATTTGGGGTATCATTTGACATAGAATTTGGTCAACATTATAATTTTGTAACCCAATGTAAGTTTGTTTTTCTTCTTAATTGCTACATTGTAAGTTCTTTG